CGGTCACTTCGCCATTTTGGCGGATTCAGGTGGCCGCTTGCTCGTTTGCCACCTTATGTTATAAAAAAAAAAAATCCGTTCAGCCGTTTAGGCTACAAACTCTAACAAACATCCATCTATCTAAACTTTCGCATTTATAATAGTATGAAGCATGATTCAAATTGGAATTAAATTGCGGTGATTAAACCAATTTATTTGTTATCTGTAATTTTTTATTTGTCTTCATATTGTCTTGTCATTCTTAGAGATATCAATTTTATGTCGAATGTTTTGTTTATAAGAGCTGATAAGGCATGACTTTGTCAATTAGTTTCTAAGTAAATTACTTAAAGTAATATGGAATATCAGTATATAATATTGACAAAAAAATCAAATTTCGTTTGTAAAAATCCTATTTTCAAAATTTAAGTCTGTTGAATAGCTGCATTTGTTATCTCAGAACCAGACCAATTTTGCAGGTATTATATTATATAATACTATGGCTATTTCTTTCAATTGATGACGCTGACCAAGTCTGCGATCACTTAGTGGTTTAGATCAAACAAAATATTTTTCTAACAAATTTTAAACACGACAACTAAGTAGGCTAACTAAGCCAGCAATTAATTGTCGCAAGAAACTAAACAAATTAATATACGAAGATTATTTCTATTCTACTGAGATAACACTTAATAAAATACATTCTTGTCTAAAGCTTTAACAGTGGTAGAGCCCGCTTTAACATCTTCGCACGAATGGGCCGGCGCGCCCGGTGTAATACCACGATCACACAGAAGACAGGCGTGAAATGGAAGCGATTCCGCGTTTCGTCTGATCAGTGTGTCGGAGGCCTAATTTTAGTCCTTTACATAGAAAACAACTTTTATATTATTAAATCCATACTCGTAAAATAAAGTAAGATAAATAGTAAAACATTCTTGTGAAATTTTAATTTTAATTAGCAATTTTGTTTCTGTATATTGAAAACTAAAAAAAAGCAACACCGAAATTGTATCAAATCTGTCAACTGCTGGACATAGGTATTCCTCTTCATCCAACTTCCAGCGTTCCGCATGTCCTTGTTATTCCTGGATGAAGAGCACCCCAGCTTCCGGTAACCTCCATTCCAATTTTAGGCCCCCAGTCGCTATACTTGTATTACATTATGATATATCCGTTAAAACCTTGTACATCAGCTAGAAATAGGTTTTCATCGATTGGACACCGCTTCCAAATGTCATCATTGTTCAAACACTTTGTACGTTAATTAAACCCTCGTACTCGTATTTCGATCGTCGGTGGCTCAGTGGTTTGAACACTTGACTTGTAATCTACAGGTCTTGGGTTCGAATCCCGCCATGTACCAATGTGACTTTCGATTTTTCGAATTTTCATATGTATTATACATAATTTACCCGACGTTCTTACGGTGAAGGAAAACATCATGATGCAAACTGCTCAAATCGGCGAAGAAATTCAAAGATATGTGTGAAGTCAACCAACCCGCACTTGGCCAGCGTGGTTGACTATGGCCTAGTCACGCCGTATTAGGGTAGGCTCCGAGCCCCTCAGTGGGGACGTACATATAGTGAGTTGGTGATGATGACTCGTATTTCAGAAGGGGACTGCTTCTTGCATTTGTATGTTTTATGTATGAGGATTCATGAATTCGATTGTAACGTTCTGTAGTTTAAACAAAGAAACCAGTTTTGACAATTAGGTTAATCTTCTACCCTGAATATCAGGATATAGTTTCTTTTATGTGATTTTTCTTAAACACTTGATTCTTAATGACACATTGTGCTTGTTTTATTTTCAACAAGCTCTGCGCACAACATTCAAGTATAACCCTCCTTTGGGGTACAGTAGTATACGCATGGGATCGTATTTCAATTCCGACGGTGTGCTCTTTGAGAGCTCCACGCGGTATTTCGACAGAAACTTCACTATGAACACTTGAGATTGCAATTTTGCGAACCGCATACCTGAAAGGTTAAAAATAGGACATTTTTATAATGTTGAAATTGTTATAAAAATGTAGGGCATCTGTTTTAAAAACGTTACATCATTTTTAATATTTTTACATGCTTATTGCCACACTAATGGGAAATAGTGTAACAATAAGAATTGTTGCTACATTATCAAGACTTGTGCATATACATATAAATAATTCAACATACCTATGCAGTTTCTAGGTCCAGCTCCAAATGGTAAGTAGGCACAGGGGTGTCTATTTTTTTCGTTTTCTGGACTAAAACGTTCAGGGTCAAATTTCTCTGGGTCGGGGTAGTATTTTGGGTCATGATGTATTCCCCAGCTGGATAAAACCACCATTTTCCCTTTCTCAATAGTAACATCAGTACCAGGAAGTTTATAATCAACTTTAGCCTTGCGCAATAATATATCCGCGATCGGATACTTCCTTAAAGTTTCATCAAATGCTTGGTTAAGATATCTCATATCACTCAAGCATTCGTAACTTACTTCGCCATTATGACGTTTCAGAACCTCATCTATTTCTGCAATGAGTATCTCTTGTATCTGAGGATTCAGTGCCAATTCATAGAACAGGTGAGTCATGGTGGACGCGCTGGTTTCGTAGCCAGCAGCATAGAAAATAAATGTCTGCGCTGCAATAACACTGTCCGTCATCTCAAGAGTCTTAACATCTTCATCATCATTCCTTTTGAATGACTCTATTATCTTGTTCTGTCTTAATTCCAAAATTAAATCAATAAAGTCTTTTTTATTCGTCGGCATTCCACCTCTTTGGTTTAAAACGGTTTTTGTAAGATCGTAGAAGAATTTTCTGATCATCTCCGGTAAGAGCGATCGGTTGAATTTTTTCAAAATACCAGGGTACATCATGTCCAATTCTACACCGTAATTGGTATTAAACATTATTTTGTCAATTTTTTCTAATGTCTTCATCATCTCATCATTTAGATCAACGCCAAAGGCGCAAGCTGTAATCGAACCTATTGTAAACTTTTGAAGCAAGAGATGAATTGGCTGTTCCAGTTGTTTGTCGCATATCTGGTCGATGTAGTTCATTACTTTGTCTCCTCGATCGGTCATCAGATACAACATGTTCTTCAGTTTTCCTGACGTGAAGAGTGGTGTGAAACGATGCCGCAGTACTCTCCATCTATCACCGTCTGCGTGAAACATATTCACTCCTAAACCTTCATCACTGAATGAAACTCCTCGGTCGGAGAACATATCAAAGTCTTTGATCAAAACGTGTTTGATAACATCCAGGTCACGCAGCATTAAGGATGGTGATGTCATTCTGAAGATGCCGACCACCTTTTTATTAGGGAATGCATTATAAATATTTCGTAGGACCGTTATGATATGTTCTCGTCTGAGAACCGAATCAAACAGATTTCCAAAGAACGGGAGCGGTTTTGGTCCAACGACATTTCTTTTCTTCCAGTAATAGAATGTTCTGGTGAAGTAAAAGTATATCGTGACGACCAAAGTAGCCACAACTAGTACAGAGTACATATTTTTGATCACTTCTCCGCTGAAGAAAACCACTTAATAGCGGCCATTTTGTTGTTCATTAAATATATACATAGGTTTTATCCACATAAAATTTGCCAATCACGCTAGCTAAGTAACTATGTAATAATGACAAAAAAAAAAAGAATTATCGCAACAAAATATTATTGTTTTACTTTATTGTCTTTATTAAGAAGTAGTATAAGGCGTCAAGTCGTCGTGACGTCAGAGATTGATTAAAAATTATAATTACCACGACCACACAGAAGTCGGGCGGGAAGTGGGAGCAATTCCGCGTTTCGTCTGATGAGTGTGGTGCCGGAGGCCTGATTTTAGTCCCTTTTCTTTGCCACCCATTTCTCGAAAACGATGGAAAGGAAAAGTGGATTTGACGGCGGAATAGACGCACAGGAAATATTCTGTTTATGTGCGTCTCCTCTTTCGTCGATTAAGGGTAGGCAACGCATCTGCAATTGCGGATGTTTATGGGCAGCGGTCGCTTTCCATTTCGGTGGATTCGAGTGGCCGCTTGCTCGTTTGCCACCTTATAATATACACTTATAAAAAAACAATGTTAGTCAAGATTTTTATCTAAGAAAATCAACAGACATTTTGATTTTTTATTCATTTTGTAATTTGCTCAAACAAAAATGTCTAAAAAAAGGGAATATTTTAAGTATATGTCGGAGTTGGGTCTTTCTCCCGACATCATTGCTACCGAGTCTTGGTTTCGTGGGCGTCATTTGGGTGAAGTGCGAGCATTAAAACACTAGAGACACGGATTAACACAATTTAATTCGGAATCTACACTTATCACATAGCAAATCAACAAGCAAGACCGAGCAGCGGGTTCGTGGCACCTGTTCGTACTTCTACTACCACTACTCTCCTCAATCGACTCGCCACTTTGCCAACACGCACCACAACATGTCACTACAAACGTCGCCCTCTAAGCACTGAACTGCGCCTCGACCCCGCTCGAGCTAATAAAGGCCACTCGAGCCGCTTGCTCTGCTCTTATTGGTCGTATGCAAGTTGACGTACTTTTAATTTTACAAAGAACTAAATACAAATGACATCGAGTTTCTACTTTCGAGAAAAAAAGGAATTAAATTAATTAAATTATCTTAAACAATATTAAAACCTAAGACAATAACGTTTGTTACACATAAAGCAACAATCAATTTATAGCTTCCTGCGACATATATACTATTAATTATGATAACTAAATTCTGAATACAAAAAACTTACAAAATCATGCTTTATCAGACATTGTTTCTAAAACATTGGACAAGGAATTGATATCTCTACCAATAACATGACAAAACAAAGACAAATATTATAAAAAGAATAGATAATAATTAAAAACAAACTGTCTTACAACAACAAAAAAATACACACTGTGTAGCTAAACAAATAATTTCATTTCTCTTCTGGTTTTTCATTTAATTTCCGCAATATACTTTACTGTGCTTTTGTTCTTTGAACCTGCTATTTTTTGTTATAAGGTGGCAAGCGAGCGAGCCTGAACTGGCCGAGAAAGCGAAGCGGTCCTCGATGCGTTACCGTTAATCAACGAAAAAGGAGACGGATATAAAGAGGATATTTCCCCTTTCTATTCCTCTTCTACGTTTAAATCCCCTTTCCCTTTTCATCCTTTCCGTATAAGCAAATGGTGGGAAAGGAAAGGGACTAATATTAGGCGTCCGGCGCTACATTCATCTAACGAAACGTGGAATTGCTTTCACTTCACGGCTGTATTCTGTGTGGTTATAGTATTGCACCGGGCGAGCCAAGATTTTCAAGCCAAGATAGCCAAGATTCGTGCGAAGGTGTTAAAGCGCACTCTACCACTGGTGTACACTTTATCTACGTCCGCCTTGTTATTTCAATACTTGTTATTAATTTTATCATAGTACGTCCATAAATTAAACAATACTAAAATTAATTAAAAATCCTTATTTGCAGTAAATTAATAAGCATATAAGGTGACAATTAACATTAATTTCGTCACTACATTTAATAGTGAATTTATAGTTTGTCTAAATAAAATAGATTAGTTTGATAAATGACGCATATGAAGTATCGAATTCAGTGTCTATGAAGGCAAATGCCATACTTAATAGACAGTTATCGTAGTGACGAAACAAACAAGCATAGCGAACAAATTTGAACTATCGATATTCGGTTTAAATAATTATCGAACACAACTAAAATTATTATTTTCTTATTAACTAATTTATAGGACAATTCTAGTATTGATTAGTAGTGTAGAGAATTTATAGAAATAATAGCGAAATCCAATTCGATTACGTACGGCTGTAGTAGTAATAAACATTTATTTACTCTCATTATTTGTTATGGTCATTATTAATTTGAGAATACAGTGTTTTTTTTAAATTCATAAGTTATAACTATAAATCTATCGATTCAAACTTCTGTAAGAATAAAAATCTAAAATAGATAAGATTCATGACTGATTTTACACAACCCATCCCTACTAAATTTCAAATGTGTTGGCGCCTATGTCACCTTCATATGGATCCCTAA